AGAGAGAGAGAGATGCTGGTGGTGTTTTGACCAGTTGAATGATAATTTTGGTTTTTTGGCTAAGTTTACAACAAGTGTTATCGAATCCTCAACTCAACTATACCAAATGGGTGAGTCCAACTCCAAGTCAAATTTTTGAAAATTAACTAGATTTTTATAGGATAATTGTCTCTCTCGTTGTTCACAGTATCTGTTGATTAGTATTGTAGATACTTGAGTTTCTAGTAAACAAAGACCAACATCAGAGTACTTGGTTTCCAAAAATCAATTACAACTCAAAAGACAACTAATTTTAAAAAATTACAAAAGACAATAAATAGCACAGTGCAACCTTGACCTCTATGTGCAGTTTCTTGATGGAATGATTCAATTCTCTCACTGCATTGGTTGGAATGGCTATCAACCTCATATAGAGCAGTGACTGCAGCTTCGGCAGCAGCAGCTGCAACTTCAGTTCCAGCCAAGGTTGACAAGAAGGCAGCCTGCAGGGAAAAATGAGGATATGTTCACCATAAGAAATAAGGAGTAATGTTGCTTTTTTATTTTTATTTTTATTTTTTATTTTTTTGAGAAAGGAGTAAGGGTGTCTCGATCCAGAATATAAAACTATATTAAACAAATGCAGGCATTCCAAGGTTGACAGGAAGGCAGCCTGAAAAGAAAATGAGAGTGTTCACCACCGGAAATGAGGACTAAGGGTGTCTCGATCCAGAATATAAAACTATATTAAACAAATGCAGGCATTCCAAGGTTGACAGGAAGGCAGCCTGAAAAGAAAATGAGAGTGTTCACCACCGGAAATGAGGACTAAGGGTGCCTTGATCCCAAATAATGTATCTTAACAAATGCTGGTATCTTAAATGAAAAATATGTGGATATCTACAAACAAAGAAAATAAGGATATCTTAATAATAGAAACTGCTCTATGAATGGGATCTACATGTCGAAGAGTATATCGTATACTACAAAGAAACTTGAATAAATCCCTAAATTGTTTCCAATTTCCAAAACATGGAATACTTAAATTGGGAAGCATGCATGGCTGAACCAACTATAGAAAACCATAGCTCCATCAGGGGTATATCACTACATGTTGTTATGATGGACTCACCAGAACAAGACATGAACACAGTGATGGGCCCCCTACTCTCCATCATTGTCTATCATTTCATCAGTTGGAGATGAACCCAATGTTCTATGCTTTTCTCCATAATCGGACTACATTAGACATCTCCTATTTTGATTACCCTAAAGTAAAATGTAGGGAAAATTGTAGATACCCCCTAAGATTGTACTTTCTAGGCATTCCCCCCGTCCCCATAATAATAATAATACCCTGAACATTCTTGGATCCAGCCCCGCAAGTAAGAAAATTGATTTTTTGACCAAACCCATTTCAACCCATGTTTCTCTTTTTTTTAGCACGTTCCCACTTTCTCTCGCTAAGCCAGTCCGACACATACTTGAACATAGAACTAGTCCGGCAATATAAATTAGTCCTGCACAAAATGTGCTAAACCGACAAAATTTTAATATTAGAAGCGGGTCTAGCATTTGTGCCAGACTGGCACATGTTGGGCATCACATTTGGGGAAAGAAATGTGGGTTAAAACACTGGGGGATGGGGGGTATTATGGTCTAAAAAAATCAACTTTTGTACTTTAGGGGTGGAAGAATAAATATTGTTGGGGTTAATCATGCAATTTAAAAAGGTTTTTTGTGTGTGTGTGTGCCCTTGTGTGGTGGGGGGATATGTGTGCGCCTGTGTGGTGGGGGATATGCCTAGAGAGTACAAATACAATCTAGGGGTATCTATAATTTTCACTGAAATGTATGTCTTCTTGCAAAAAAGCTCATATATAAATAAATAATGCATGTGCATGGTATGTGCCCTTCTTACTTTATTAGTACTCAAGCAGTAGTGTTAATTTTCACTTAAATGTATGTCTTCTTCCAAAAAAGCTCATATACAAATAAAGAATGCATGTGTATGGTATGTGCCTTTCTTACTTTATTAGTACTCAAGCAGTAGTGTTAATAATCATTAAATAATTCCCTCATAATACTAGGGACACAAAAAACACCATACCTGTGCCATTATTGGGTTGCTTGCATCTGCAAGTGGAATGAGACGGCTTCTGTTTGTTGTGGGGCCCTCGGCATTGTTCTCGGATTCCAATTCTTCCTCCCCTAACTCCAAAGGTGCCACGAATTGCTCGCCAAAGGGAAGCTTAATGAACCTGGAAATGCACTCTTTCTCACTCTTGTTACCCACATATTTTGCAACTGATTTCCAGTCATCTCCATATTGTAAAAGGGCCTCTAAAAGGAGCAAAGTATCTTTGTCTGTCCACCGATCTGTCTTTGTCGCTTGGTTGAGTTCAATGCGTTTGAAGTCTGACACCAAGAGTCCAAGTCGAAAGTTGCCACGAACAAAGCATCTTGCACAGAGAGTGATGCAATCAGCCTACATCGAGCATTGAAATAAGTGGCAAAATATTCAATCTCTTAAGCCATGCCCTTTTGAGTTTTCCCAACATTCACTTAAATTTTATTTTGAGAAAGAATACTTACTTATTAGGCTCATTACCATCCAATGAAACAGTGGATATTGATGGAGAGGGAGTGGGTTCCACCACAATAGGACATGACCCAATTGTGGGACATACTCACCATCACCTCGCAATTTTCATCATTTCGTTACAGGTGATGACCCAAATGGAAAATGCTCTTCGCTTTTCCATGGTCTAATGGATTTAGTGTATTTTTTCTTTTAACACTAATTTGAGTGAAACAGCCAAAATTAACAGTTTGAAGAATTCAAATATATGTGTTATGGGATTTCAAAAACATGTATACAAGAACAACGCTGCTATAATTAATAATTCACATGCTGATGGACATTGAATACCAATGTTCTAATTCTTGCCAAGCCAACTTGAAATCACTGGGCCAAAATGTTTGTGCTTCAGTATAATCATACAAGCACGAGCACAAATGCCCGATGAAGGTTCTACCAATAGATTCAGCCAATTAAAAATGAGTGTTAATCAAACACTTCAGATGATTTATGAGCATCAAAGGCTCATCACAGGCTCATTCTCTCTAACTGAAACTCACTCAAACCATTTTAAACTAGATTTGAAATACCCATTAGAACTGCATTTTTTTCAGACACTAGTTGATACTTATGGGTATTTCCTCCCATAATTTTCAATACCCATTTTTTTCAGACAATAGTTGATACTTATGGGTATTTCCTCCCATAATTTTCAATACCCATTTTAGATAATTCCCTGCTCTTTGAACTGATATAGAATTTACAAATGAAAGGAGAATCAAAAGAAATTAAACTGACCTTTTGGCATTCAAAGCAAACCATACTGCACTCTAACTTGCAGCTTGTGCACCACTTCCTCATATTCTCTTTCTTACCAGAAGCTTCAATCCGGCCATTAATGGAGGCACCAACAAAACCAGGGGGAGGGCCTAATGGTCGAATTGCCCCTGCTGCATACTGAGACCCACCCAAAGCCTTTTCTTTCTCTTCCCACCTTATAATTTGCTTTGTTGGGGTGTAATTAATCAAACCCCAATTCTCTAAAAAATCAAAAACCCTACGAATTGTGCCCACATCTCCAACAAGAGCCTTTCGAACCTCAGTTAATGTGATTTTCCTTGATGGACTTTCTCTGTATTTTTTAATGATGAAGTCCCTGTAATACTTATAAACCCTAGGGCTTTTTGAGACTGATTTCCCATCAAAGAACTCTGGAAGCATCCTATGCTCCGTATCATGGATCTTGTCCCAAGAGAACCACCCTGAAAAAAAAAAATGGAGAAAATCGGAGAAGTGATAAAACATAACAACATTAGATGAATTCAGTGGTGAAAAAATTAGGAACATATTTTTAGGTGCCAACACTTCAAAAAGAAAAAAAAAAAAACCAAAAATTAGTACTGGAAATTGAGACTACGGAAACTCCAAATAAAAATTTCACCTGAGCGGGGATTGGTTAGGAGAAAACTTTCAAAAAATTTTGGGTTGGTGTTTAAGAGTTGAGAAGGTGAAATTTTTTGTCCTAAAATATCGATTTCAAATTTTCTTTTTTTTTTAAACAGAAAATGGACTCGAAATGTAAAATTTTATAACGTGGACCTCGAAAAAAATTGTGAACTATAAACTGGAAAACGAAAACAAGAAGAAGACGAAAATCTTATGAACTGTGAAATGGGAAGAATTGTGGGAGAGAGAGAGAGAGAGAGAGAGAGAGAGAGACTAATTTTGCGTAACATATATGTAGACTGATTTTTACCTTAACTGGTAAAAAACAAGTAGACTGATTTTTTCAGGTAAATAAATGCAAAATACAAAAAAAAGAAAAAATTCTAATCTAGGGCACAATGAGCATGGAAGAAAACACCAGAAAAGCAAAGACAAACAAAAAAAGCCGTGAATTTGAACAATATGATGACAAAAAGAAGAAGAAATAAGAGCTAATTTCGAAAAAAATCCAAGTTTTAAACAACAAAAATGAGGAGAAATAAACCTACTTGAATGGCTTGGGATCGTCACAACTCCTGAAAAAGGAAGTTGCAATGGCTGTGGAGTTATAGGAAAGACGCGTTCCTTGGATTCAGAGAAGGTGCTGCTCTCTGGTTTTACCGCCGGCAAATGGCCGGAATCTGAGGTTTCCAGCGTCTTTTCCGGCGTATTTTCCGGCTTAATGGCACCAACGTCGCCTGGAGTTTCAGTGGCCATTCTTCTGTTTTCTCGGAGTTTCAAAATCAAGGGTTGAAACTTTTTCCCATTTTGGGGCTTTAAAAGACTAAATAGTCTTAAATACCCTTAAGAATAGGCAAATTACACTGTGCTCTATATATCTGAGAAAATAGTATGATCATAGTGGACCACCAACGTCACTCATTTGCTTGAACGGTGATGAAACAGTATTAAGTTCAAAGTGTATAGTCATCTCACTCCATCACCGTTCAACCTGTTTATGAGGGGTGAGGTTTATATAAGGTGTCAACCTTAGTATATTGAAATAAGGTGCGCCTCAAAACTATACCAAAAATTTATTAATAAGGTGCGCCCTCAAAACTGTACCAAAAATGTAGTTTTAGTGCCACAAACCATGAAAACCTATTCTTGCCCCAAATTATGCAATTTAAAAGGGTGTGCTTTGTATAGAGCTGAGGCTCTAAACAAGCAAATTAGAGCCCACTTTGAAATAGTTCGAGAAATATGGTTTCAATACTGGAAATCTTTGTGATAGCCTTAAAACATATTTTCATCTTTAATTATAAAATTTAAAGCTTCAAAATAGTGTAGATCGTGCAGATCTATGATAACTTTAAAACATTGAAAATTGGTGGTCCAAAAACGCGTTTCAAGATGCCCTATTTTCAAAACTTGAAATCCATTTTTTTCTTAAGTCAATGCATCTTGATGTTGAGATGATCAATTTGAGGATATTTGGGCATCAAAACAACCTCTTCTAGTGAAATTTTTGAGATGGGCTCTAATTTTATTGTTTAGAGCCTTGGCACTATATAAACATTTTTCAATTTATAATTCTAAAAATAGTGATGATCAAGCAATCTATACACTTGAAAATCTTGAAAATAGATGGTCAAGATAATGTGTTAGAAGATGAACTATTTTTAGGACTAGAAATCCCTTTATTTTTGTGTTTATAAATCTTAAGGTCGAGATAATCGATTTAAGGGTTTTCCCGCGTAAAAACAACATAATCTATTGGATTTTTTAGGTGCATCTTACTTGTATAGTTTAAGGTTCGACACCTTAAATAAACTCTTTCCGGAGGGTAATAACCTTATCACAACACTGTTTCATTCAACTAAGACTAATCGGCTTATACTAAATGATTAAAATGCAAATTTTACCCCCATAATTTATTTGTTAAACTCCAAAAGAAAGCATATGAAAGGGCCTTTTGTCCAATAGAAAAAGGTCCTAGCCCCATAAGCTTTTGATTAAGATACAATTATCAGCTTTCCACCATTCTAAC